TTAGAGAGAAGAGGGTTTCATATTTTCCCCCCCCCCCCCCCCCCCCCCCGGCCCCCGGCCACTACCACTCCCTCTTCCAGTAAATATTCAAACCCTGTCATGTGTTGTACAGTTTAATCTACAATAAACAGACAGATCCTGTTCTCTCCTGTAGCGGAGGAGGAGACAACAACTGATCACAGCCCTGCTGTCAGGGGTTTCAGGGACATGTGGCTGTGGTTGGAAAACACGGAGCAGGATTTAAAGCTGTGCATCTAAAAAGAACAGTTATGGTTACAGTGATGCCTTCACTGTCCTAAGTCTAAGTCTTACCCTGTGCTCTAACGCCTTATGTCTCCCCCTGCAGGTGATGAGCAGCCGCTTCCTGCCGTACGAGACCATAGTGACCGACGCTGTCCTCAGCCTGGACGAAGACACGGTGCTGTCCACCACTGAGGTACAGTTCTGTTTTATATAAAGAACTCAACCAAATTCCCTGAGCTGTGTGTCCTCACCAGAGCTTTTCTTTTCTTATTCATCCTTCTTCCTTGATTCTGCGCCTGTAATCACACAGACTCTGAGTCACCCCTAAACCCAGCAGTTCCAGAGCACTGTGCTCAGTACAGTATTTGTTCTGCAAGAGTTGTTGCTGTGTTTTCCCGGGGATAGGTTTTTTTGGCGCAGCACCCTGGGAACAACAGATGCTGCTTTGAACGGTGTGGAATTAGATCCCATAAAGACTTTTTGTGTGGAAGGATGAGGAAGAAAAGGCAGCACTGGCGTGGAAGAGGGAGAATCCAGGGCCAAAAAAGAAACCAAATCATGAAGACATTTAGGACAACGTGATGGAGGCCAGTGTAGTGAATTTGGAATTTGATGAAGATGAGATTCCTGGGGAGTCTCCTCATCGGGTCTTGTTTTCATCAGTTTTAAGTGCACAGCCTGGCTTCACCAGGAACAAAATTAACTTATTTTCCCCAGTTTCTTGTATGTTTCTCCTACTTTAATGTAATAAAAACTAAAAGCTCTTTCCAAGAGCTGCACCTAGTTTTAAACAACTAAATGTTGACCCTTAAATATATATTTCAAACTCTTCAGACTCAGTAAATTTTCTGCGTGTTTTGGATTCAAATTATATAAATCTCTCACAAAAAGTAAACAATTAGATTTAAGCCAAGTATACGAAAAAAAAAAAAAACGCCAAAAAAGGTTTCCATGGAGAGTTCTAAAAAGTCGATGAAACTTAGCAATATAGCTAAAAGTTAGCCACCAAAACCAAAAATTGTTGTATTGGCTAGAATGCGTAAAATAAAAAAAATAAACAATTTAAATACTGTTAAGCAATTATATCACAGAAAATTATAATACCAAAAAAAGTTAGCTAATATTAGTTAACAATTTCCAGAAACCTTTAACAATGCAATGTCAAAAAAATAAAATAAAATAAAAAAATTGCCACTAGTTAAAACTGCAAAAATATTTATTGAAGTAAAAGATTTAGAAGTTAAGGCTAAAATGTTTTCTCCTTTTCCTTCATCTTTCTTTTGACTGTTAGAGAATTAAAAAACATCCCATTGAGCTTCACTGTGGAGACATCGAAGATGTTTCTCTTCAAAATGTTGGTTCAATTAACAATTTTGGCAGCAACGCGCAAGAAATGTTTGTTCAGGTCCAGACAAGAGTTGTAGATCTTTTTCTTCTCTTCGAACCTCGGAAGCCTGGTTCATGTGCCTATTTGTTCCACATGTTGTCTGAGTTGTTGCCATTTTGGCACCACATCCTGGGAGGCCAGATGCTGGTGTGTATGGTGTAGAATTCAATCCAACAAAGACATCTTTGTGCCAAGGCATAAGTTTGGCAAAGCAGGACTGGCGCTGAGAACTGGCACATTATTGTGGAGACATTTTGGCTTTAGAGCGCAGTGTAAGTTCATTTAAGGTTTCCAGGGTCACAGAGGTGCTTGGATTCAAATTTAAGTCAAAGATACGTTTTTATAAAAGATATGACCTAAACCGACATGATATATGAAATAACGAAGAGAAATTTTTACAAAATATATATATAAAATATATTAACACAACAATCCTGCATAGGATATAATTATTAAAAAAAAAAATTTCATCATAATTTTTCACCATCTGACCAGACTTGCGAAATTAGATTCTAAAAATCCATCATAAATGACCTAATTTTATGAGAAACATGCAGGAAAAGTTTTAAAGTTTTAAAAATAATTTTAACAAAATTTTCCATGAAAATGTTTTAGTTTTTGACCAAAGCTGACATGAAAAGTTCCCATTTTGACAAAATATTTTATACTGAAACATTTCTAAAAATGTTAACAAAATGCTGTAATTTTATGAGAAACATGCATGGAAAAATAAAATTAAAAAAAATAATTTTACAAAAAATTTCCTTGTGTTGTGTTTTAGTTTTTGACCAAAAATAACATGAAAAATTCATGCAAAAAAATAGTCCCAGAAATACCTTTAAATACAAGTTTATGCC